AGTTGGAAACTGCAGATCAATTAGTTTCTTCTAGAAGACAGTGGGAAACAATAAGGTTGCCTGCTGGGATGCTGGATGGGGAGGATGCGTTAGGGCCAAGGGGATTATACACCTTGTCACTGCAGGCTTCAGAGACATGGCTGTGAAATGTTTCTTCACTTGTAAATATTGCAATCTGAGGAGTAAAAAGCCTTGAAGAAGAAAATGGGAAACCCCTAAAGTTTTTTGGCTGTTTTTTTCCCTCGGCCTGCAAACTCGTGTATAGTGCCTAGATAGATGGTGATAGGCATGTTAATGAAATCTAAGCTAGGTAGACAGAATTGATCTGCTTGTGTCTTATAGTGGAATTAGCTCCGACACCTGTCACTTTAATAAATCAGGAGATGAAAGACATTCTAAGAGATTTCCTGGAAGTAACAAACATAAAGAGTTACCTGTGAGTTTGGAAACTGGAGCACTTGACCTCAATAGTATCGGGTCGTGAGTTACCTGTGAGTTTGGGAACTGGAGCACTTGACCTCAATAGTATTGGGTCATAAGACTTTTATGGTATTAGTAAATTACAGTAGGAAGATAATATCACCACCTTTCTTGGAGAGGGATGTTTTCCCCAAGACCTCAAGTGCCTATTTTGAGATTACAATACTTTTTAATGTTTCTCATCTGACTGGCTTCATCTATGATTCCAGCTTGGGTGTTTTTCCCTCTGGTTGCCAGACTGCTCCAGATCCTTGTAAAAAGTAGATAAAAACAGATGTGATTTTTTTTTGATGGTCCTAGGCCTTCTGCAGCCTCTTCAGGCTTTCTGCTGTTGCCAGCCCCACCATGATGTAGGTGTCTGCCTGAGCAGGGTGTGCGGTGATAGAAAGAAAGATAAAGCATTACCCATGGAGCTGGCCTCCATATTCATTGATTGCTTTGGGGCAGCTAAGTGAAGAATTCGGTTATTTCTTCTGTTGTTTCAAGGTACCATTGTTGCCAATATATGCATAAAATAAACAAATCAGTGTTTAAGCAGCCAGACATGACCACACCTTTTCCTAGAAGTTAACATTAAAAAAACAAAATCAGGACTGCTATTTGCTCACTCGGTTGTCTGTCATCGTTGAGAGGGATTTTGCTTTAGCAGCTGCTTGGCAGTAGTGTAGTCTGTGCTTTCTACAAGTGCTGATTTAAATCTGAACTGGTAGATCAGTCTTCCACCATGTTTGCTGTTGGTTTCAATATTTCAGGTTGCTTGTTTTACTCTGTGTCAAGATGAATAAGGAATAAATCAGTAGTTTAACTACACATTTCTTTGCTTTGACCGATCAGATTAGTGTGTGTCTTAAGAAGCATGATACTAATTTTATCCATTACAGTGATTTCTCAAGGCAATCTGTAGTAAGGGGAAATGTACGTTCAGTGCTAAATAAAGTACACAGCAGGAGAAAGTGAATCTAAGGAAGGAATTGCTTTTTGCAGGTTAAATTAAGCAGATTCTGCTAGTAGTAGTACTTGAAGAGGCAACTTTTCAAGGCACAGTGACAAGCAGGAAACTATCTCTACTGTTCATAAGAGGTAGTGAAGTATTAGTGTTCTTGTATTGCAGTAGCTCTTGGAAATCTTAGCCAGAATTGGGGTCCCATTGTAGTTGGTGCTGTACAAACACATAGGAAGGGAAACTAAGGCACAGAGGGGTCAAATTACTTGCTCAGAGTCAGATAGCAGGCCAGTGGCACAGCTGGAAATAGACTCTAGGACTTGTGTGTCCCAATTCAGTGCCCTGCTGTGATGTTATCTAATTAGAATGTGACCATATAGATCATTGTTACTATCACTGTTATATAATTGCAACAGATCTTATACAAAGTATGACACATGGCAAGAAAGGGGTAAGCAGTTTGAAGTCTAAGTGACCTAGAATTGACCTGCAGAGCTGTTAGACAAGTATGTAAAAGGTGATTAGGGCCATTTCATGGTAGATAAGCTAGAATTTTGAAGTGAAACCTATATTGTTAAGGAATTGGAAATGATACTAATCATATGTGTGTAATTATATCTTGTTAGATGTTAGCCATGTAAACAGACATGTCCTGTCTGTCCCTATAGCTATTGATTCAGAGATTAAAAAATAAATATTAACATTTAAATGAACTGTAAATATAGTAATATCTCTGTATTCATCTCTCTTTGAAATGTATAACCAATCACTTGAGAATAGTGGAAAATGGGCAACTGCCTTATGTTAATCCACATAGCTAATTGCAGGTGATGCTTAGGAACTATATCTGTTTCAGAATCTCCATAATCACCTATTCTTCACCTAAGGACTCTGAGCTGTCAAAGAAGACCCAGACTTTTATAAGAATGTCTAGGGTCCTGATCCTTTTTATCTCAGATCTGCTTGATGCTTCACACAGGGGAAGTTTAAGGCTGAGCTCTCCAGTTCTGAACTGGGTCACTCTGAGAACGGTCTTTGGAGTATAACTTCTGGACCAATTATGGAAGAACTCTTTGAAACTACAAAGGTCACCATCTCTACTATGAATTTGATCTCAGAAAATGTACCCCTGTGTATATATACTGATCTTTTAGGTTGCTTGTTTTATTCTTCAGTACTCTCTCTTTTTTTTCTTTCTTTTTTTCTTCTTTAGTATAGTTAATAAGGATTGGCTGTATGTGTGAATTTGAGTGAGAGCTGAAAGATTCATTAACCTGGGAGGTAATGTGTTTGATCCTTTGGAATAGGTAGAACTTTCTTATATGATGAATAAGATTTTCAGTAATCTCTCATAATATTTGTCTTCGGTGTCTGGGTGGAGGCCCGAGGCTGGGTTGCTTTAAGAGAACAGTGTTGTTGGCTTCTAGGTAACCAGTATAGTATAGAAGCTGTTCTGTGCTGGCTTGGTGAATCTAAGGGTATGTCTAGACTACATGCCTCTGTCGCCAGAGGCATGTAGATTAGGCTACCAGGCATAGGAAAATGAAGCGGCAATTTAAATAATCGCCGCTTCATTTAAATGTACATGGCTGCTGCGCTGAGCCGATCAGCTGTTTGTTGGCTCAGCGCGGTAGTCCGGACGCGTGGGTGTCGACATCAAAGGCATTTGTCGACCACCCAGGTATGCCTCCTGGGATGAGG